TTGACCAGGATGGTCTCGATCTCTTGACCTCGTGATCCACCCGCCTCGGCCTCCCAAAGTGCTGGGATTACAGGCTTGAGCCACCGCGCCCGGCCTTCCTCCCCATTCTTATTCTGCATTCATACAGATATATGTCTATGTCTATATTTATGTATCTGATCTGACTAGATAGATGCCCTATATAGCACAAGGACACCTGGAGAGGCTTTTGTGAATATAAATGTGTAGTGACACTTTATCTTTCTCTTCTCTGCCCAAGTACGTCCAGTAATGCAAGACTACTTTCCAACAGTGGGCAAGTTTTCATGTCTTACTCCCAGGTGACATGCACATTTGCTCCCAGAGTAACAATACTTTTAATCCTCTCAGACTCATATGTTGAAGACTTCAGTAGGGTATCTCTCTTCACTTTGGCTGTGTTTCCTCCATCTTTCCCATTTTTAGGAATTCAAAGAATTAATCTGCTGGTGTGCAGAAATGCTCTAACAACCTAATTCAAAGGAAGGTCACACATGTTGCAAAAGTCAGAGGTCCCCAAGACCACCCTAAGGATTGATAATTGGCTAGAAGGTAACTGGGCACAGTGGCTGGCACCTGTAATCCCAGCACTTTGGGAGGCCGAGGCAGGCGGATCACCTGAGGTCAGGAGTTCCAGACCAGCCTGACCAACATGGAGAAACCCTCTCTACTAAAATACAAAATTATCCTGGCATAGTGATGCATGCCTGTACTCCCAGCTACTCAGGAGGCTGAGGCAGGAGAACCGCTTGAACCCGGGAGGCAGAGGTTGTGGTGAGCCAAGATCGCACCATTGAGACTCAATCCATAGGAGATTTTTGTTTTTTTGAGATGGAGTTTCACTCTTGTTGCCCAAGCTGGAGTGCAATGGCGTGATCTCGGCTCACTGCAACCTCCGCCTCCCGGGCTCAAGCGATTCTCCTGCCTCAGCCTCCCAAGTAGCTGGGATTACAGGCATGTGCCAACATGCCCAGCTAATTTTGTATTTTTTGTAGAGATGGAGTTTCTCCATATTCGTCAGGCTAGTCTCAAACTTCTGACCCCAGGTGATTCCCCCACCTCAGCCTCCCCAAGTGCTGGATTCCAGGCGTGAGCCACCACGCCCAGCTCCATAGGAGATATTTTTATGTCTAGTTATTAAACGTGCCTGGATTGATAGTGTTTGGTTTGTTTGGGTGTGGGGTTGGGGATGGGAGGAATCTTTGCCTCCTAGTCGTGATCTTCAACCATTCCCATCTCTGGTTCCTACCCTGTCCCAAGACATCTCAACAAATCTTCTAACACGTATCTCCCCAAACCAGCAAAATATTAATGTGTTCCAAGACCCTTTTCTACGTGCCAAGTATTCAGGGGTAACCAAGACAGACAATAAAAATTTATTTTGAAAGAGCTTCTGTGTGATCTATTAAAATGTCAACAATGTTAGAATAGTTTTTCTTTTTAAAAAATGTTTAGGCCTGGTGCAGTGGCTCATGCCTGTAATCCCAGCACTTTGGGAGGTGGAGGCGGGTGGATCATGAGGTCAGGAGATCAAGACCATCCTGGCCAACATGGAGAAACCACATCTCTACTAAAAAATACAAAATTAGCCAGGTGTGGAGTCACATTCCTGTTATCCCAGCTACTCAGGAGACTGAGGCAGGAGAATCGCTTGAACCTGGGAGGCAGAGGTTGCAGTGAGCCGAGATCCTGCCACTGCACTCAAGCCTGGCAACACAGTGAGACTGTCTCAAAAAAAAATTTTTTTTTTTAATGCACAGTCTCACTATGTTGCACAGGCAGGTCTGGAACTCCTAGGCCCAAGCCATCCTCTCATTATATGCAAGTCACCGGCAGCTTGACATCAAGCAAGACACTTTGTTTTAGAGACAGAGCCTTGTTCTGTCACCCAGGCTGGAGTGCAGTGGTGCAATCATAGCCCACTCTAGTCCTGAGCTCAAGCGATCCTCCCACCCCAGCCTCCTAAGTAACTGGGACTACAGGTACGAACCACCACTGCCTGGCTAAGCTTTTTATATTTTGTAGAGATAGGGATCTCCCTATGCTGCCCAGGCTGTCTAAAACTCCTGGCTTTACGCAA